CTCGGGAGGCTCTAGAGTGCTCCAGGAGGCTACAGGAAGCCGCAGGAGGCCCCAGGAGGCCACGGGAAGCGCCAGGAGGCACCAGCAGGCCCCGGAAGGCAGCAGGAGGCCCCAAGAGGCCCCAAGAGGCCTCAGGAGCAGGATGCCTCAGAAGGCCACAGGAGTGGCTCCAATCCTATGTGTTGTACGTATGCTCCTATATATTGTGCCTCTTCTGTAGCACGAGCCCTTAGGGTGTTACACATTTTGTTTCTTCTTCTTCTTCTCGTATATATATATATATATATCCAAGCCCATATATATATATAGATATATATAGGTATCGTGTTTCTCCTATATCCAATCCTAAGTGAAGTGTTTTACGTGTGTTCCTATAGATTGGGCCTCCCCTGGGGCACGGGTCCATGATGTCTTACGCGTGTTGCTATGTATTGCCCTCCTCCTGCGGCTCCAATCCGCAGTTTTTGTTGTACGCATGTTCCTATGTATTTGGCCTCTCCTGTGGCACGAATCCCTCCAGGATGCCCAAGGAGGCTCCAGGAAGCCCCAAGAGGCCCAAGGAGACCACACGAACCCCCAAGGGGCTTCAGTAAGCCCCAGGAGGCTTCAGGAGGCCCCAGGAGGCCCCAGGCTCATGCGCAGAGACGCACTAATACTATTAACATTCATTCACACTCCAACTCATTCACAGTTAGATTCGCTCCCAGACCGTCAATACTCAAGCCCGCTGATATTCGAGCACCTCTTGCGCCTAGACACTCACGGCAGACAGGTCCATGCTAATAGATGCCCATATGGGTAGCTCCACGCTATGAATAATTCTCCACATGTTTCGTGTGATTCTGGTTTTCTCTTGCCGCGTCGCACCCTCGTCTCCCGCACACACCTCCCTCCGTCCTCCCTCTTCCCCTCCTCTTCTTCGCCTCATCCGCGCGCAACGCATGCACGGCGCGTACATGAGACACGCGTCTACATACAGCCGCACGCATGCACGTACCCGCACACACCACACAACAAAGCTAGTGCACGCATGGCGTGTTCACTGCATCATGCACCCACGACGTATGCTTCACCTTCTGGCCACCCACACGACGAGGCACACGTCCATTTACAACCGCACACGCATTGATACGCACACCACACAACACACACGCGCAACATTCGCAGGGCGTGGCAGGCGTAGGCGGCCATACGACACGGGCGCCATGCCCACACATGCAACCCATGCACATCCACATGACGCGGCAGGCGTGCCTTTTCTCGATGCCACAGGGGAGTGCGCAGGGGGGGGGGGGTGCGGTCGTTATCCGTCGTACGCTCGCAAAGCGTGCCAGGCGTACATTTTATCGTTCTATCGACAGCACAGGGGGGTGCGCAGGGGGTGCGGTCGCTATCCGTCGCACGCTCGCATAGCGTGTCAGGCGTGGCAGTTTCTCGATGTCACAGTGGGTGCGCTGTGGGTGTGCTCGCTATCCGTTGTACGCTCGCAAAGTGTGGCAGGCGTGACAGTTTCTCGATCCCACAAGGGGGTGCGCTGGGTGTGCGGTCGCTATTCGTCGTACGCCCGCAAAGCGTGGCAGGCGTGGCAGTTTCTCGATGCCACAGGGGGGTGCGCAGGGGGTGCGGTCGCAATCCGTCGTATGCTCGCAAAGCGTGGGAGGCGTACACTTTATTGACGCCACAGGGATGTGCACTGGGGGTGCGGTCGCTATCCGTCGCACGCTCGCAAAGCGTGTCAGGCGTGGCAGTTTCTCGATGCTAAGGGGGTGCGCTGGGGATGCGGTCGCTATCCGTCGTACGCTCGCAAAGTGCGGCAGGCGTGGCAGTTTCTCGATGCCACAAGGGGGTGCGCTGGGGGGGTGCGGTCGCTATCCGTCGTACGCTCGCAAAGCGTGGCTGGCGTGCACTTTATCGACGCCACAAGGGGGGAGCGCAGGGGGTGCGGTCGCTATCCGTCGCACGCTATCCTGGCTGGCTGGTCTGGCTGATCTGGTTGTCTATGGTTGTGAATGCTCGTCAAGATGGTCTGGCTCGCCTGGCCAGTCTGGTTGGTTGGTTTGGCTGGTGACGACGAACGTGACGACGAGTACGACGACGAGTACGACGACGACGATCAGGACGAGTACGACGACGATTAAGACAAGTACGACAACGACGACGAGTGCGGCGACGAGTACCACGATGGTATGTGAACGCGCGCGACGTAAAATGAGTATGTGGGGCTCCTCGGTAGTGTAATTGCTGTTTTTGGTCTTGTTTTCTCATTCTAAAATATGATTTATGGTTGATCCCCCTCTGGTACCTATTGTATGTTTCAATTGCAGTGCTCCTTCTGGGGCTCGCACCTTGTTTTTGTTCAAAGGACAGTGCGGAGTCACCGAACTGTGCCCCTGGCTCCCGGTTTATAAACAACAGCGGCTCCAGCCTGATACTTCCTCAGAATGTATTCCCAACTCGCGCTTTTGCGCGGGACTTCCTCACAATGTATGCAGAAACCGCGCTCTCGCGTGGGCGTTCCGCGCAATTCATTCAGACGCCGCGCCCTCGACACTCAGGAGTCACGCTCTCGGTGTGGATTGATCACGATGTAATTTGGGAATCGCGCTATCGCTTGAGGCTTCCTCGCGATTCATGCAGGACGTACGCTTCAGCAACCCGCCTGCTCGACCTGGCCGCCTGGGCCCTCCTTCCCGACCCGCCCGTTAGGGTCTACCCGCCCGATCTGCCCGTCTGGGTGTGCCACGTGTTTTCTGCTCCTGGCCCCCCTCCTGCTTTTCTCTCTCGTGCTCCATCCTTCCGAATCCCACTTGTCCCTTTCTTCCATCCGTCCTCTCTTCCCCTGCTTTAGGGGCTGCACGAACTACACGGTGCAGGCAAGAGATATAAAGTCCCAATGGGGAACGATCGAAGACGAAGAGGGCGGGCATCGAGGGTTTGAGACATACCTGTTGAGTGGCACGCGAGCAGATCAGAACGAGCAGTCTTAAACTGATTGATGTTGTTCTTTTTGGCTGTTGTGGTAGTTCGTTTTGATGTGGTTGTTGTGGTTGGTGAGGCAGTTGCTGTTGATACAGTGGTTGTGTTGTCGTTATCGTTATCGTTGTTGTTGTGGTTATGCTTGCTGTTGTTGTGGTTGTTGTTGTTGTTGGTGTTGTTGTTGTTGTTGTTATTGTTGTTGCTGTGGTTGTGGTTGTGGTTGTGGTTGTGGTTGTGGTTGTTGTTGTTGTTGTTGTTGTTGTTGTTTTTGTTATAGTTGTTGCTGTTGCTTTTGCTGTTGTTGTTATTGCTGCTGTTGATGCTGATGTTGTTGCTGTTGGTGCTTGTTTCTGTATCCTTAGTATTCTTCCATTTCTTTCTGGTGGATGTGGGTGTGGTTGTGCTTGAGATTGTCGTCGTTGTTGGTGCCGATGTTGGTGTTGGCGTTGCTGTGGTTGTCGTTGTTGGTTATGTTTTTGTTGTTGTTGTTGTTGAACATTATTACTTCTAAAGAATAATTATTGTTGGGACCCCTGGTGCATGGCCCCCCCGCCGCGCCTCGGCCGCAGCCTCATTTTCATCATTTTCGTAAGGAAGTCTCAGGCAAAACGATGTCATCCAGATCCGGTTGTGTTGTTACGATCGGTTTCCCCTTGCAAAAAATAAGGCAAAGTGGACATTTCTTGTTCTAACATAACCAAACTTCAAGAATCCCTTGCAAAAAATAAGGTAAAGTGGACATTCGCGCGCGCAAGACGAAATCCTTCCAAAACCTTAGTGTTCGTAACGATTTTAATATAAAAACATAAAAAAACCAATGGTTTTTCAAAAAAAAAAATGTCAAAATTTCATCCCGCGCGCTCTTGCGGATTTGTAGGAAACCCAACACTTTTTAGACATTTCTGTCAAACGGGCTTTTGCGAGCGTCGTCCTTGTCGTCGTTGTTTTTGTTTTTGTTGTCGCTGCTGCTGTTGTTGCTGTTGGTATTTATGTTGTTGCTGCTATTGTTGTTGTTGTCCTCGTCGCTGTTGTTGTGGCTGTGGTTATTGTTGTTGCTGCTGTTTATATGTGTTTTTTTACTCTTCTCCAGCTGTTTCTTTTTCTTCCTTCGTTGTCAGGCCGCGTCCAGCCGTGGCCACGAGGGCGCCCCAGGAGGCCCCCAGAAGGGCCGAGTATACGCCGAGCACGTAGAGCCCGCCTCCCCCCTTCACTTCTCCCGCCCTCCCCTCTGGCCCGCGCGCGCTGGAGCACCTCGGAGGAGGGCCAGCGGAGACAACGGCGGCTCTTCCGCCCTGCCCGACGCCGGTCCAAAATCGGTCCCCGGACCCCTCCGAGGTTCCATGTCTTTCGGGGGTGGAGAGACCTCCTACCCTGACACGTCGATTAGCGGATTGGCCGTTCTCGGTTCGCGAGATGGCGTCGCGGCCGTCATTTTTGCGGGTCCAGGTCCGTCGGTTTCGGCCCCAGGCCGTTTTCACTGAGGGGAGGTTTATTAAAGGGAGGTTTGTCCACCGCCGATTCTTGTTCCGCTTCTCGAGGCGGATGCGGCCGTGACGACGAGAAGCCCCCTGGAGACCTGGGGAGGGTGGAGGACGCCTGGGAAGGGCCGCCGTGGTATCGACCAGCTCTCCTCCGAGCCTCGGCGCCCTCGAGGTCTGGCTGTCGGGTCTTGCTCTTGGACCTCCCACGGCCGATAGGTGGCAGCCGGGCAGCCCAGGATACCACCGACGAGGCGCAGCTGCTGCAAGGCATCCTGAGGCTGGAGAACTGCATGGAAAACGAATACCTCCAAAAACCTCGTCGGCCCGCGTTGTCTCGACAGGCCCTCATCCGAGAATGGCCATTCTACGCTAATGAGGAGGAGGAGGAGCAGCAGCAGGAGGAGGAGAGGAGGAGGATGAGGATGATGAGGAGGACGACCAGCAGCAGCAGCAGCAGCAGCAGCAGCAGCAGCAGCAGCAGGAGGAGGAGGAGGAGGAGGAGGAGGAGGAGGAGGAGGAGGAGGCCTCCGAGCCAGCGGCCAGGTGCGGGACCACGACAGGGGTGGCGGCAATGCCCAGGTCCTCTCCCGCTAGCGCGTCCCGGAGCCGCGGCGCGCCCAGCGCGGGAAGGAGTTGGGCGTCGATGTCGTCGTCGTCGTCGTCGTCGTCGTCGTCGTCGTCGTCGTCGTCGTCGTCGTCGTCGTCGAGGTCGAGGTCAAGGCAATGGCGTCGTCTCGCTCGCACGCGCGCGCTCGCGTCGGAGGTTGAGCCTTTGGAAACACCAGCGGCTCCCGAAGAAGAGAACCTGGCCTGCTGTCGGAGCTGCGCGCGGATTTCTCGCATCGGCGCTGGACGCCCCCGGCGGCACCTCTGGCGCCGCCCTGGCGTGCCCATCTTGGGCCCATCTAGAAACTCTACCTACCAGGGTCCTGCAACTGCGTGCCAGTGGTCAGAGAGGACGACTTCTGAGAAACCTTGTGCGATCGTCCGCCTTCGGACTGCACTGGTGTCCCTTCCGTCCCTCCCCGCCGCCCTCCATCTCCTCCCATCGGCGGCGATCGAGGGGGGGACGCGAGAAGCAAAAAGCCTCCTCCGAAGGCGGCGGGACTTCTCAGAGGCACTCCGGCCTTCCCAGAAGGTTTCTGTGCCATCGGGGGAGGCTCAGTCCACTTCTCACAAGGCTCGCCGCCGATTCCCCCCCCGCCCCGCCCCCCTCCTCCCGCCACCCCTCCCCTGCTCCGCCCCCCCCCGCGGCCTCCCGCCCCGCGCGCCCTCCTCCTGTCCCCCTGGCGCGCCTGGGCGCTCCCGGGCGCCCTGGTGGCCCCTGGCATTGGTTGTGCTCGCAGGCGCTGCCACCTGGGCAGCGAAGGGGTCTTCGGGGGCGGTGCACGGCTCGCTGGCCCTGCGGCGCGTTGTCTCGGCGGCGGGCCTTGTGGGGGCAGCGAGAAGGGGCGGGCCTTCTCAGAAGGCTCGGAAGCCCCCCAGCCTTTGCGAAGTTTTCTGAGCCTCCCCCTGCGACACAGAAGACTTTTCAGAAGGCGCGAGGGTTCTGAGAAGTCCCGCCGCCTTCTGAGAAGGCCTTTTCCTTCTCACTTCCCCCCTCGATCGCCGCCGACTGTGAACTACTGCAGGCGCTCTTCATTTCAAGCCGAATTCCGCTGGTTGGCGCGTGGGCTGATTCAGAGAGGTTTTAGGCACTATGGTTGTGCGCCTGAGCGGCGGTATCGGCAATGGGCTGCCGAGGTCTCCGAAACGAAGCTGGCTTGAGACAGAGGGACGGCTTGCCCACCGGGTTGGGGTAGGTTTTTGAGGGCGCAACCAACGGTATACATTTGAAGGGGTGTCTGCGTTCTGTTGAGGAGGAGGAGGAGGAAGAGGAGGAGGAAGAGGAGAACTACAAGGCTTGCGACGGGCGACCTGCCATCGTACACGCTGCGATTGCATGTTGTGGCAGATGTGAAAGTAGCGCATGAGACGTGGCCTGGTGGGGCTCTGATCGGATCGGTTTATGTGGGCTCTGGCCTGGCTCTGCATTTGCTAAGCGCTCATCCGACGATGTGTGGCACGCCAACTAGGAATCATTGAACACGTGACCATGTCCATGAAATGATTCATGCTATGATCTCGCACGCAGGCAGGCCAACGATGAGCTCGCACATGCGTCCAGTTCATCAGCGATACTGGGATGCATGCTATGCATCGCGTCATGTCCCCAGACACACGACGTCGATTCGATACGTATCGAATCGGATACAGCGTATCGATACAGCGTTCGCCCAGCTCGATCCCATTCGCTTTCGGTGTTCGGGCATGCTTGCACGGCGCGCTGCTGTTCAGCCTGCCGCGGCCGATCCGACGCGCGTCTTCGTCTCCGTGCAGGAGGAGCCCGATCTGGCGCACCTTCCGATTCGATCCGATTTCGCGATTCGATGCTGACCGACCCTGTCCATCGGACCTTTCTCGACCCCATCCCGGGGACCAGCATCTCGTCCCGAGCCGCTTCTGTCGATCGCCCTGCACGGGGCCCATGGTCGGCCGCCGGCGTCTCCCCGACACCGACCAGTGGCGAGACACCTGCCGCCGCAGTTGCTCGAACCTGTGGGCATCTCGGCACGTCGGTGACGACGAAGACGCCGCCGCCGCCGCCGCCGCCAGCGCCGCCGACGACGACGACGACGACGACCACGCTGGTTTCTCGAGCTGGTGTGAGCGCCGCAGGTCCCACTCCTCGACTGGCTTCAAAGGACCCCCGCTGCAGTCTGCACTATCGCGCTTGACACGACCAGTCTGCCTCTCCTTCGCGCCCTTTCTCTGGCCTCATCCCCCGTCGTTGTGATTCAGTCTCCGTTGTTACTCTCCTCCTCCTCTTCCTCCTCCTTCTCCTCTTCCGCCCATCTTTGCGTCTCTCCCGTTGTGTTGGGCCCCTTGAGATCATCCAGCTCCGGCTCCTCTCATTTCTTACTCTCTCTCCCTCTATGCCTCCGATGCGTTCGTTTACCCCTTCGTTTTCGAGGCCGCTGTGCGGCCAAGCGCTGAGCCTCGGGCTGAGCAGGCTCGGGCGAGCAAACCAATGCCCCGACATGGTTCTTCCACAGCTGATCGGACCCGGAAGCAGCCGCCCCCGTGCGAACGGGCCCGCCTCGGGCGCCGCGGGCGCCGCTCTCGCCTCCCCCAGATTCCGGCAGCCTGCAGGCCGCCGGATTCGGTGCTCCCCAGCGGCTCTCCCGGGTGGCTTTCGGGCTCTTCCTCTCGGCGGCCCCTCGCGACCACGGCGGTGCCATCTCGGTCTCCCTCGGGGCTCGAGTGAAGCGGTATTCTGGTGAGTTCGAGGGCCGTTTTCGTTTTGACTTCGTGTTTGCAGCAGAGGTGGAGCGACTGCAGATCGAAGGAACACGAAGACAAACCGAAGACGGATTACTCTGTGTAGTTCCAGCCCTGCGGCCTCAGCCAGGGCACGCATGGGCCATTTTCGCCCCTCTCAGGGAACATCCTGAGCCGCCTTGAGTTCTGCGGTCATCCTCGGGCCTCTGAGGCTTCGGGGGAAACTCGTGGAGTCTCGTGAGAATTCAGGCCGTGCTCTGCAGGAGGGCGGGGCGGAAAGATTGGCGCCGGTTTTCTTGCTGACCGAAGCGAGCGGCCAGGGCCCATGTCGATGCGGCCGATCCGATTCGATATCTGTTTCGACCCGCGCGATTCGGCTCGATGTGCATCACGGCGCTGCCGATCCGAGCCGATCTTTGCTCCGTGTCGATGCAGCCCGATCCGACGCACGTTCCGATTCGACCCGGTTTCCCAGTCCAATGATGACCGATCTTGCGTCCTTCTCCCCCCCGCCCTGGCTGGTGCTTGGAACGGGAGAGCCCATCTTCCCTCGGTAGGGGCGCGCTTCCCTGCGATCCTTCCCGGACCGTCCACCCCTCAATCGTCCTCGGTTCTCGACTTAAGTCGGGCCTGTCCCTCTACAGGAGGAATATTCGAAATAGTCAAAAAGTATGCAGGAGACGATTTGTTGATCATCTTTTCGTCAATGTTGGGGTATTTGTTTTGACTTTTTTTGATATTTCGTTCAAAATCCCCCTGTAGGAGAACAGGCCCATCTTAATACTCGTCCCTCCTCGACCTTCTGATTCTTTGATCCTTCGATCCTCCGCGACCCTCGACCCTTTCATCCTCGATTCGGCGGCCCTCGTCCCTCTTCAGCCCTGCATCCTTCGATCCCCCTCGATCCTTCGATCCCCCTCGGTCCTCCTCGGTCCTCCTCGGTCCCTCGATTGTCGATCCTTCTCGATCCTCCTCGATCCTCCTCGATCCTCCTCGATGCTCGACACTCCTCGACCCTTAGCCGCGTCGCTACCAAACCAGCGTGGGACGACTTTCAGGGCACGTGCCTTCAGCAGAGATGCTGCCACCCACCCCTCCTCCTCCGATGCTTCCCAGGCATTGGTCTCACAGGCGCACGCACTGCCCGTCTTATTTCACGCAGGCGCGTCGGCGCGCCCCATCCGTCGCGCCTTCTTGGCGCCACGCGTGCGGAGCCGTTGCCGTCGCCATGGTCATCGACCTCGGGCGAATGATCAGCGACGCCACCATCACCATGGGGGCTACCTCCAGCGGGTTGGTCCACGATGCCTCCCCGAGCTGGGGACGGGGGACTCCTCGAGCGAGAGGTGGGGACCACACCACCCGAGGGATCCCCGCTCCTGCCGCTGGTGGTCCCTTTTGGTGGTGGTGTCGCTTTTCCTTGTTCCTACGGCAGGTTCGCGTCGTGCCGACCAGCGGCGGCCATGCCGTCGGCGTTCAACGTTGAACGCCGCCGACATTCCACAATCGGTCGATGTTGAACGGGTCTGGTGCTTCGACAGCGGCCGATCGTTCAAGGTGGAACGATCCCCGCGGTGTCAGAAACCGACGCCGAAGTGGGTTCGACACGAAGCTGCCGTATCTCAGCCACGTGCTGAGGGGGGTTGTGGGAGGGGGGAAGGCTGCTCAGAAATACCCTGCTCCTTGGAAGGCGCGGACCTTGTCTGAAGATGTAGGGCGGGCGCCTTCTAAGAAGCAGCCTCCTTCCAAGAAGCCTTCCCCTGTCTCGAAAAAGAAGAAACGCCATAAACATTATCTTTTGGCGCTCCGCGCGGATTTCTTGGATCTGGGACCCCACTCCCTGGCGCGCGGAGCGCGCCAGGGGCGGCACGGCGCCAGCGGCGCTGCTGGGGGGGCCCAGCGCAGATCCAAGAAACCCGCGCGGAGCGCCAAAAGTCTGATGTCTGTGGCGTTTCTTCTTCTTCTTCTGCTGTCGGCCTACCCCCCCTTTCTTCAGGAGGGCCAAAAACACACAGACACAATTCACCGTCGACTCCCAGGAACATATGGGAAAACATGGGAAGTGGAGGGGAAGACAGAAACCCAGAAAACATGGGGAAATATGGGGAATCCTGTTCTTTGCGTGTATTTACCTGTGTGTCCTTGGGCCCCCCTCATTTCTGCCCGCCGCCGGGGCATCGACCGAGACCCGCCACGGCGGCGGCGCCCCCGCGCGAGCGCGGCCGCCGGGGGCGGCAGGACCGCGCGGACGTCGGGGAGCGCGCCGCTGAGCAGCTCGGCGCGCGCCCCCCCGCCGCGCCCGCCCCGCGCGCCGCGGCGCCCCGCATCGGCGTCGTTTCACCGACCCCCGTCCCCTCCTCCTCCTCCTCCTCCTCCTCCTCCTCTTCCTCCTCCTCCTCCTCCTCCTCTTCCTCCTCCTGCTTCTCCTCCTCCTCCTCCTCCTCCTCCTCCTCCTCCTCCTGGAGGAGGAGGAGGAGGAGGGGTGGACAGAACCCTCAACAGTGACACGTCGATTCGTGAATTCTCCGTTTTCGGTTCTCGAGGGGGCGCCGTGGCCGTCATTTTCCAGGCTCGCGCCCGCCAGGTTTGGGCCTCGGGTCGTTTTCACTAAACCACGTTTTGCTAAAGGGGGGTCTGTCCATCCCCGATTCGAGCCCCCCACCAACTTGCCACCCCAGTTGGGGATACACCCCTCGAAGCCCGAAGGGAGCGGCCTGTGTCCCCCTCGGGGAGGGTAAGTCGGCCAGTGGGGCCCTGGCCACGCCGCTGGGGATGGGGATCGGTGAAACGATGCTCACCGGACCTCGCGCCGCGGGGCAGTCACGACGGACCCAGACATCACGCTGCCTCGAGCAGCGTCGGGGCGACCTTTTCTCCTAGCTCTCGGCCCCTCGGGGCCCAGACTGGGCCTCGGGGCCGCAGCAGGAGGGGCTCGGGGAGAGACGGGGTCCCGGAGGAGTGGTCGAGAGGGCGGGCCCGCGGGTCGAACAGCATCGAGGCGCAGGACGTCCGGGGACGGCTGCAGCTTGTCCGCAGCGGGCGTCTTCGCCGGGTTTCGGGCCCCGTGCCCATCACAGATCGATCGGGCTCGAGGGATGGCGCAGAGCGACATGGTCTGGAGCTCAAGTTTTTTGCTGTTGTTGCGATGTTCCGATTTTTGGGCAGCGGCAGATCTGAGGAGTAGGGGAGGAAGAGGAAAAGGAGAGATGGAACGGAGAAGGATGGTTGGATGAGGAAGACTGTCTTCTTTCGACTGCAGCAGGCTTACGCCGATAGCTTGCCTCAGTTCGAGCAAGCCGCCCGCAGACGTCCACCAGCCTAGGCTGATGCCCTGCGTGTGTGCGCACCTCACATGCTGGGACCACCTGGGTTCGCCAGACCTGTGGTGCCATCTGTGCGCAGTGGGGAAAGAAAAAGGAACAGGACGTGGAGGCCGGCGGGGGAGGAGGGAGGAGGGGGAGGACGAGGATCAGGCGGGTCTCGCCTCTCTCGCCTCTCCGTGTGGGGGGCATCTCGTGCTGGCAGCCGCGGTGTCGGGCACGTGCTGGTGGTGGTGCCGAGCGGCCGTGCACGTTCGAGGCAGATGCGTGAGCAGGGTGAGCATTCCATGCGTTGACTGTATTCACACTGCCAGGGAGATGAGGGAGGGAGAGAGAGAAGCAGAGAAACATACTGCAACAGAGAAAGAGGGGGAGAGAGACAGAAAGAGAGAGAGAGAGAGAGATAGGGGGGGAGAGAGAGAGAGAGGGAGATATAGACGAAGAGAGAGGGGGGGGGAGCAACACGGATATCTAGATAGCGGAGAGGGGCAAAAGAGCGCGTCCGAACGAGCGGAATGGACATGTTGGCCGTGGATAATACGTTTTCTTCACTGGTGGTGGATTTTCGATGGAACTTGTTGCTCTCAAATGTGCTCTGCTCACTGGCATGGTTACCATCTGGAGTCCTACGCGCGTACGACTTTGCAGATTCGAGGTCAAGGCGGTGCTGCAAGATTGCTGCGTGCGCGCTGTGCACATGAATTATACTTCGTGCTGTCAATCGCCCCTCGAGTTTCTATCGTCGTGATTCTGCCTCCAGCATGAATTATGGCACTCCGCGCAGGTAACGAGAGCCTTACTCGCAACCGAGGCGAACCACGCCAATTATGTTTTCTTCTTGCATGCCGAAGCGGCAGATTGAGAGGAGGCACGCTGGATTAAGACACTGGCAGCAGGCGGCAAATGCAGGGAGGGCGGGGCAACATGTTTCCAGACGGTCCAGGACGCATACGACCGTGACCGTGGTCATATTTCTCCGTCCACTATTTCCGTATATACCAGGCCGATGCTGAGTAATTCTGGTCCGATGTCTACCACCATTAGACCGCAGACTCAGTTTCGAATGCCTTCGAGGATAAACATGCAAGTCAGGAGGTTAACTTCAGCATCGGCGCTGGCATATCCGTGGCCGAAAAGCTTCATAACCTGGCTCAGTCTCGATTAATTTCGCCTAGGCCCGTCTAGTCCTGGTCTATTCGGGCTCAATCCTTGGCTCATAATGCGTTAGCCCAGCACAGTGAGAACTTATAGGGCTTATAGCCCGTAATCGTTCTTGCTAAGGCCTTCCAGGAATTGCCCCCTAATGTCCACATGCGCGACGCAGAAAAATTGATCAGGTCGTCTGTGCGGGCATTCGCGCGTAAGTTTCCCGCGTAAGGTCGTGCATAGGCGCCCTCGTTTCCAAGCTGTGTGCCACGCTGGCGGCCCGCGTCAGCTACGAGGCAGAGCCGCTTCGTCTTCTCGCGTAAGACTCGCTTCTTTTCGTCGCTCACGCGTGCAGTCGTGCCGCGTCGGCTACTCACTCCGTGTGCGCCCAGGCTGCCCAGAGAGCATCGCTCACGAGCCGCAGCTGGGGGGCGCCCTGGCCCCCAGGGCTGGCGCTCTGACGTCTTCAGCTGGCAGGAGGGTCAGACTAAGCCTAGCCTTGGAGGGTTGAGAGTTACTCTACACCCCCCTGAAAAGTACTGCCACAATTCTTTCAATTTTTCGCCCCCCCTCCGGGATCCCGATCTTAATGTTGAGTCAGCCGCGGCCGACGACAGAGAAATCGAATCGCGCGGCGCTTGGCGTGAACATTGAAATTGAGGGGTGCGGGGAAACGGACCGTGCGCGAGAAACACACTACTTTTGCAGGGTAGGGTTACTTCTACGTTCTTTGCGTGTGGGCTCTCCACATCACACTGCTCTTCGTTTCGGGGATCTCCATGGAGCTTTGGGCCCTCCGCGCTCTTGTGGCCATCGCTCGACAGTGGGTCCTTGAGGTATTCCAGCGCTCGCGTCAGCGCGTCGTCAAAGAGGCCTGCGCTCCTCAACGACCTCGGAAACATGGGAAGGTCGCCTCCAGCAGCGGCGGGAGCTCCCGGTCCCTGAGGGAGCTCCAAGAGCGTGGGCGAGCTCGAGCTCGAGCGGCATGGAGTTTTTCTTATTTTTGCTGTTCTGGTTATTATTAATGTCATTCTAATAATAGAAGAATAATGATTCTTCTTATTACGTGGTGATAACGGGCGTCACCGGGGGGGGGGGAAGCGGGCCAGTCACGTCACGCTTCACACTGGCGGCGTCTGGGAATGCTTAGGCAGGAAAGACCGAGGACGGGTAGGCGCAGCATCAGGTGGCCATCTGCACCACAGCGCCTATGTGAACCACAGTGCTTGCGTGCACCACGGTGCCCGTGTACACCACAGCGCCTCTGTACACCACAGCAGCCGCTTGCACCACAGCGCCAGTGTGCACCACAGTGCCTGCGTGCACCACAGCGCACGTGTACACCACAGCGTCTGCGTACACCACAGCAGCCGTGTGTAATGCAGCACCAGTGTACACCACAGTGCCTGCGTGCACCACAGCGCCGGTGTACACTACGTCGCCTGTGTGCTTCACAGCAACCGTGTGCGACAAAGCACCACTGTTGTGTAGAGAACTGCAGGGAGGAGGATGAGGAGGAGGGAGGAGGGAAGAGAAACGTATTCTATTTGCAGCGCTCCTATTGTGTGGTGTTTAGCTGTCCGCAGCAGATCCTCACCTATATGCTCCTTCTACCTGTCCTTTGCACGCACGCACTGTGGTGTACACCAGCTTTGTGTTGCACGCGGATGCTGTGGTGTACACAGGCGCTGCGCTGTGCACAGGCGCTTCGGTGCACGCAAGTACTGTGGTGTATACAGGCGCTGTGTTGCAGACGGCTGCTGCGGTGTACACATTCGCTGTGGTGTGCACAGGCGCTGTGGTGCACGCAGGCACTGTGGTGTACACAGGCGCTGTAAAGAGCACGCGCTCTGTGGTGCACGCGAGCATTGTGGCGTACACATGTGCTGTTTCAGATCGCCACCAGCATACTGCTCTTACGTGGCCGCGATCATCCTTGGGTATTCCTGGACGCCACCAGCGCAGAACGTGACGTCACCTGGGATGGGGAATCATTCCTGGGGAAGGTCCCCGGGGTCCAGGACCCGTTTCCCTCAGGACCCGATCTCTCAATGCCACAAGTTTTGATTTACATTCTGGCAAGTTTGCTTGCATCGCATTCCCCCCCCCCTTCCGCCGTTATTTAGAACATCGCTGGAGCGCCGGGCTGGAAGAACATGCAAGTGAGTCCCGCCCTGCGTGAAGCCTAGATTTCCTTTCGGGCCTCGCCACGCACCCCGCCCCCCATGCAAGTCAACTTGCTGGTGTCTAGAGAGAAACCCCCTCAAAGGGGGGACGTGGACAGAGGCAGGACCCAGGGTTCTGGGCCGCCCTGCGGCATCGGCCTCCCCCTGCATCGACGACTGCGCACCGATCCGGCCCAGTTGTTTCTGGGATGCCGTCTCCGTGGATTTGGGCAAGCAATTCGAGTACAGCCTGGATTGAAGAAGAATAATAATAACAATAATAAGCAACTGCATACGCAGAAGCTTGCAAGGCCTGCTCTGACCCACGCCGGGTTGCGCCTCGACGGACAAATCGTCTGAAGATCGATACAACAATAGTGTAGATAACACGTGCAGCGTTTCGCCCGCGGGTCACACTCCCCGGGCCCACCGTTGCCAACCAGATGCTGTGCAGAGGTGGCTGCAGTGGAACCAAGCACAACTTTCGGAGGTCCACGCGGATCTCTCGGATCGGAGGTGGACCCCCCCACCTCGGGCGCTGAGAAATATGCACATGCACCGATGCTCAGGAGGGGAGATACACACAGACACAATTAGTCATCGATTCCCCAGAAAGTATGGGAAAGTATAGGAAGTTGGGGGAAGGCAGAAACCCAGAAAACCTAGGAAGATAGGGGGAAGCTGGCTATTTGTGTCTATTTATCTGTGTGCCCCAGTGCCCCATCAGATGCTGGCCAGGCGTGCGGCACCACGAACCTCGGACGCGCAGCCGCACGCAGCTCTGCTCGCCCAGCTCCCCCTGGCCCCCCCTCCCCCTTGCGTGTGCCCTCTGAGGCCCTGAACCATGCCCATTTCTGATTCTTCGGAAGTTCTTTGACATTTTTGGGGGCCAAGATCCTTTCATTTCTAGTTGTTCTATCCTGGGCCTCTTCCTGGCCACTATGGGGCCAGGAACAATTAGAAATGAGCACAATTTGAAGTGAGCACGATTAGATATGAACGACGTGTAGAGGTTGGCACCAAGACCAGGGTCGGCGCCTGTCTTCACGGAGGGAAGTCGATCCTGATCTGGTCTCGGTGATGGTGGTGATATCAGAGTTTCTTAGGTGGCCGAGCGGTTACCACCAGCAGCGACATCCAGGATCGTCTTCCCCGGTGGAGGCAACCCCTTTGTGTTGGTGTCGGTCCCAATTTTCAGGCCCCCGGTACTCTCTTCTAACCCCCCTCCCCCGACAGGCGGAAGGCCATGCGGCGGCGTGCATCGACCGCCTCGAGCAGCTGGTGAACATCGTCGAGGGGCTCCAGCGTCAAGAGGAGTGCCTCTGTAGTTACCGAGGAAGAGGATACGGTAGGTTTGCGTCGTGTCGACCAGCGGCGACCCCAGCGCGGGCGTTCAAGGTTGAACGCCGCCGGCGATCCAGAATCGATCGATGTTGAATGATCGGACGTTGCGGCAGCGGCCGATCGTTCAAGGTTGAACGATCCCTGCGGTGTCAAAAACCAACGCTGGGGTCGGCACGACACGAACCTGCCGTAACCAAGTTCCTTCATCAAACGCTCCTCACCAGACCTCCTCGCGTCGTGGAGGGATCACAGCTGAAGGTGCTTTGGCAGTTCTCGGCCTCGGGGGCCGCTCGTCGGACCCCAGGACCTTCCAAGAACGACCCGGGATGAAAAACAGGCCCGGGGACAGGTGTCGGGACTTCGGGGACCGCGTATTCAGCACATGAGGACATCGCATGTCTGGGTCCTTCCAGCTCTGGTTAATTCAAGCTTCGCGCGGCCCGCTTGGCTTCGACCGGAAGAGGTGCGCTCCCGACCCGCGAATAAAAAAAACATGTCTGGGTCCTCTGTCGTCCTCCACCCTCCTCGTCGTTGCGGGTAGTCAGACTCACACGATCCAGCTGGTCGGGGGGTTCATTCTTCCGCCGCCGTGCTTCGTCCCCCCGGGAACCTCAGGAGACCACCGGGGACATCAGGTGACCTCTGTGGGCCTCATGGGCCCGCGGATGTGCGCGGACGGGGGTGGATCGAGGATCGAGGGTCCATGCTTCTGTGCATATCTCTGCTCAACAGCACGGCCGGATCCGACCCGAATGTCTGGTCAGAGTGCGCCTCAGGGCAGGTCCAGGCGCCATCTTCGAGGGGGGTGCCCAGACCTGAGGCGTCACAGAGATGTCGGTATGCCTGCTTTTTTCTTCAAGTTGCTGGGCCTCCTGGGGTTCTTGTCGTGCCCTTCTTCTTCGCTGACGATCCATGATGTGCAGAGGAGCCCATCGCGATCCAAGCAGGGCTCCCCCCTGTCTTCCAAAGCAGTTCCGTGCAGCGCAGTTCTGAGCAGCGCGAGGCAGTGCGGAGCATCGTCCGGCTCTGCTTGGCACCGGGAGGACGTGCGGAGCGAGGATCGACAAAGGAGGAGGAGGAGGAGGAGGAGGAGGAGGATCAGGAGGAGGAGGGAGGAGGGGGAGAGGAGGAGGAGGAGGAGGAGGAGGAGGAGGAGAGGAGGAGGAGGAGGAGGAGGAGAGGGAGGGGAGGAGGAGGAGGAGGAGGAAGGAGGAGGAGGAGGAGGAGAGGAGAGGGGAGGAGGAGGAGGAGGAGGAGGAGGAGGAGGAGGAGGAGGAGGAGGAGGAGGAGGAGGAGGAGGAGGAGGCTGATTCAAGCTGATTCAAAGCATGGAGCGAGCTCCATCGCATCCAGCGAAACTCAATAAACATATTATTGAGTTCGGTACTGCCTGTTACCGCACGGCGAGTCCTAAAAAGTTACGGGGAGCCCGAGTCCCCCCGGGCCTGCAGCTCCCGAGCCTCCCTCGCGCGCTCCGAGAGACACCAATCTACCGCTTCCCGCGGATCAGAGAAGCCGTGCAAGGCAGCGACCCGATACATATCGAGAGGCTCTGGGGGTACCAGCCCATAGGTGGTCCCAACAGGCTCTGGCCCCGAACCAGAAGAAACTCTCAGCTTCGCCGCCCACTGCGCTCGGACTTCCAACGACGGGGTGACGACCGACTCGAGCCGTGGGGGCGGCGACTGAGTTGAATTAGGATGCAGGCCTCGCCGGAGCCTGCTCCTCTGCGTGGCCAGCCCTGGATGCCGATTACCCTTGCAAATGGTGGCCAGCCCAGAATCAGGCCTGAATTTTTTCTGCACGCTGCCGCCACAACCCGTGCAAAACAGAACAGGAGGCTCACCGACGGAGCCGTGCACCGCAGCCTGAACGATCTCATGATCTTGAAAAAGCCACGGGCGCAGCACGCTGCAGCCACTCCCGGCGGCAGCCCTGGTCGCCGCCGAGGGTGCCGCGCTGGTGGCCGAGCCGGGAAAAAGCTCGGGCGGGAGGGCTATGCGAGACTGGAGCTGCGACCGCTGCTCGCAATGCCTTTCCCGCTCGCTGGCCTCGTCAGGGCTGAGGCTCGAAACTTCCAGTTCTAGACCCAGGACGACATCGGCCGTGCCGCCGACGCCGTCGGAGTCCTCGTGGCCAGACTGGTGGAGCCACTCATGGACCCTCCCCATCCACACGGCCGCGTCCTCGGCCCTGCGCTCGCAGGCCTCCACAAAAAGTTCATGCTCCGGGGCCACATCCCAAAGCTGAGCCCCTTTCTTGGCCCACTCATCCGCGAGGCGATTGCCCCGCAGCTTCCACAAGTCTTCGAAAGACGTGGCATCCTGGGCGCTCCGATGGGCTTTGACCTTCGCGACCGTGGCAGAAGAACCAACCTTGTCCCACCAGAGCTTCCAAAGGTGGCGCCGCTCATTTCTGGGGTCCAAAGTTTTGGACGAATTAATGGCGCAACCCACAGAGCCAGCACAATCACTGAACACTTCAAGCGGCACGCCTGAATTACCTTCGGACGGAGGCTCCGAAAACCGAGCCAACATGTGAAACGCGTAATCCTCCCCGTCCCGCGCCCACTGCTCGGGCCCCCAAGCCCTCGGAACCACCCCATACATGCAAGCAACAAAATTGCCGGCTTGGTCCGCCTGCACGGTCGCCCAGCCCGCGCGTCTACAAGAACCGTGCTTAGTGCTGAAGGCCGATCCGTCCGCGAAGATGGCCCCCCCCAGAGCCACCCGGGATGGGCGCCCACAAACCTGACCCAGTGCTCCTCAGGAGCCTCAGGTCGGCCAAAACAATTCCCGGGGGAGGGGAAGAGGCAACGCGAGAAAAGCTCGGCCTCGTCAGCACCCAGCTTGCTCACTCTGCTGGCTGCGACACCGAGCGAATTAGGCATGTCCGTGCGCCTGAGGCCAGCAGAGCACGGGCAGTCGAACCCCCTATGGAAGAGAGTGCCTACACAGCCACACAGTTTGCACTGGTCCGAGATAGACCGCCCGTGGCGGTGCAAACGCGCTTGCGGCCAGTGGGTCCCCGAGACCAGGCTGCGAACAAGGTTCCTGCCGTGCCGACTGAGTCCCAGCCCCGGCTTCCCGAACAAGATTTGTTCAAGAGGTCTCCAATTCAGAACAGAGCGCCAGCACTTATATTTACTGATGGATACAATATCGTTGGCAGCGACTGCCATGTATTTCACCGCCGCCACCGCCCTACCGGGGGAGAAAAACCTGAGGTCGACCACCTCTCCGCCTGGCCCGACAAGTTCCGTGGCTGACCTCATGCTGGCCCCTATTCTGGCAAGCACGAGGTGGAGGGCCTGGGCAGGGTTGCTGCACTGACTCCAGGGGGCCCTGGACTTCAGAATGCCGCGAGACTGCTCAAGCACCGCTTCCAAGACCGAGAGGGCTGGAAGGGAGGTCTCGACACACATGGCCCAAGCATGCATGACCTCCCCAACGTGGACGACCGCGGGGTCCCTCCAGAAGGCTTTGTACATCGATCGGAGCCTCAGTCCTACGTTGGCACCTGCGGGAAGTCGACCTTCCGAACGAAGGGCGCCGACCCGTAGCCCATGGAGCTTGTTGTCGGCCAGCCCCGTGACGGCCGAGCCCCAAAAAGCAGTGGCGGTGGGGGATCCGCGGTGGATGCGCTCCACGGCTGCGCCGGCTTCCCGAAGAACATGGACACGCTGGGCAGCAACCCGCGCCTTAGCCAGGCGTTTGTCCTGCTCGACGACGGACCTCCTGACGCCGTCAGAGCCGTCACCGCCGAGGCATCGCAACCCTCGGCTCTGCTCAATCTCGCCGGCCCAAGCGGCCTCGAGTCGGGCCGCGAGCGCACTGTCGGCCGTGAGCCAACCCGTCTTGCCCCAGTTGACCTTCAATTGCCGGGCCTGCAAGCCTTCTACCACAAAGGCCAGGGCGGCGGGCAGCTGAGCGGCAACAAGATCCACGGTGCCGAGCGCCTGCAGCAGCTGGTCGTCCACCAGCGACTGCGACCGCACCAAGGGGAAGCGCCGCGCTTGCTCCACCCAGAGGGTGTGGACCATCAGCTTCGCGAGCCCGAGCGCGCAGGAGCATCCTGCGGCAATCGTGCCATTGGCGCGGATGGTGATGCCGAGGGCGCCCGCGAACCTCGCGCGCCTCGGCAGGCGGTAGGCGCAGCACAGAGCCTTCAGCAGCGGCAGCGGGAAGCGCGTGGCCCGCGCTTCCCTCAGCAAGATGTTGTGGGAGACGTACTCGTAGTACTTGCTGAGGTCGAGGGCCGCGGTGCCCGCCGCCATGCCGTCCTGCTGGGCGCAGAAGGCGGCCAGCAAGTTGTGGGCGTGACCAGCGCGATCACACGTCCTGTCAGCGCCGCCCCAGTAGAAGCTGCCCTCCAGCCTGCGCTCCCGCTCCGCGACCAGCGGCTGGCGCGTCCTCGACCACAGCCGCAGCCAGATGCAGTTGAGGATGATGGGCCTCAATCCGCCTGCTGGCCCCGCCTTGGGCAAGAAAGCGATGAGCATGAGCCAAAGGGAGCTCTCGCCGGGCGAAAGCTCCCAGCACCTCAGCACGTCCAGGAAACGCTCCTTGTAGCTCTTCGGCAGCCAGCGCAGATGCCGGGGGTGGAGCTGATCCCAGCCCAGACCAGCCCTCTCGCCGTACTTGTCTACGGCTGCGTCCAGGTCGGCCACCTGCAGACGCGGAAGGATGGAGGCGTCGAGCTCTTGGCCCCCCCAGTCCCGAGGATGTCCCTCATCTGATCGGTCGGGGTTGACCCACAGCGGCTCCCACTGCCTCATGAGGTAATCCATGGCCTCATCTCTCCCCCGAGTGGGAGGACAAGGCCCGATTCGTCGTCGTGGGCCTCGATGACGGTGGGCCGCACCTGGGCCGCCCGCACATAGGCATAGGCCTGCTGCCCCCCCTTGGCGGACGCCGCCTCCTTGGCCCAGGCTTGCCATAGGGCCCGCTGCTGGTGCTGGTCCCGCCTCCTC